TATTTTCTATAATAGGAGATTTAGATTTCGTACCTATTTGGGATGAACCACCCTCGTCACCCTCGTGGTCCGCCGCTTGCTCCTCATCCGGGGTGCCGTGACTCCAGGCGCCCCCCGCGTCCTCCTCCGGATCGTCATCCTCGAGCTCTTCTTCGTCAATGGTGTGAATATCTTCCGGGAGGACCGGGATGTCTCGTTGATGGAAAAATTGAGGATTTTGAGCCAATAGTTGTTGTAGTTGCTCGTCGGACATTCTTTCGCCATCTCGCCGTTGGTATTCCGGTTCGTCCTCCCATCCACTTTGAGAAGAAGATCCGGACTGCCCGCTTTTTTTGCGCAAACTAGGATGAGTTCTCGCAATCTCCTTCTTTCGGTTGCGTTGGAGATTTCCGATATCCAAAGAATGTCTACCGCGCTCCATCTTAACAAATATAAAAGTATATCAAATATTTTAATATGTATAAATTTACTAGGTGTACACTTAAATGACAAATGCAACAATTTAACTAGTTTAACTAGTTTTATACATTAATTAAAATGTCTAAATTTACTAGGTGTACACTTTAATGAATAATGCAATAAATTAACTAGTTTTATACTTTAATTAAAATGTCTAAATTTACTAGGTGTACACTTTAATGAATAATGCAATAAATTAACTAGTTTTATACTTTAATTAAAATGTCTAAATTTACTAGGTGTACACTTTAATGAATAATGCAATAAATTAACTAGTTTTATACTTTAATTAAAATGTCTAAATTTACTAGGTGTACACTTCAATGAATAATGCAATAAATTAACTAGTTTTATACTTTAATTAAAATGTCTAAATTTACTAGGTGTACACTTTAATGAATAATGCAATAAATTAACTAGTTTTATACTTTAATTAAAATGTCTAAATTTACTAGGTGTACACTTTAATGAATAATGCAATAAATTAACTAGTTTTATACTTTAATTAAAATGTCTAAATTTACTAGGTGTACACTTTAATGAATAATGCAATAAATTAACTAGTTTTATACTTTAATTAAAATGTCTAAATTTACTAGGTGTACACTTCAATGACAAATGCAACAAACTAACTAGTTTTATACTTTAATTAAAATGTCTAAATTTACCACTTGTACACTTTAATGAATAATGCAACAAATTAACTAGTTTTATACTTTAATTAAAATGTCTAAATTTACTAGGTGTACACTTTAATGAATAATGCAATAAATTAACTAGTTTTATACTTTAATTAAAATGTCTAAATTTACTAGGTGTACACTTCAATGAATAATGCAATAAATTAACTAGTTTTATACTTTAATTAAAATGTCTAAATTTACTAGGTGTACACTTTAATGAATAATGCAATAAATTAACTAGTTTTATACTTTAATTAAAATGTCTAAATTTACTAGGTGTACACTTTAATGAATAATGCAATAAATTAACTAGTTTTATACTTTAATTAAAATGTCTAAATTTACTAGGTGTACACTTAAATGAATAATGCAATAAATTAACTAGTTTTATACTTTAATTAAAATGTCTAAATTTACTAGCTGTACACTTCAATGACAAATGCAACAAACTAACTAGTTTTATACTTTAATTAAAATGTCTAAATTTACCACTTGTACACTTTAATGAATAATGCAACAAATTAACTAGTTTTATACTTTAATTAAAATGTCTAAATTTACTAGGTGTACACTTTAATGAATAATGCAATAAATTAACTAGTTTTATACTTTAATTAAAATGTCTAAATTTACTAGGTGTACACTTTAATGAATAATGCAATAAATTAACTAGTTTTATACTTTAATTAAAATGTCTAAATTTACTAGGTGTACACTTTAATGAATAATGCAATAAATTAACTAGTTTTATACTTTAATTAAAATGTCTAAATTTACTAGGTGTACACTTTAATGAATAATGCAATAAATTAACTAGTTTTATACTTTAATTAAAATGTCTAAATTTACTAGGTGTACACTTTAATGAATAATGCAATAAATTAACTAGTTTTATACTTTAATTAAAATGTCTAAATTTACTAGGTGTACACTTCAATGACAAATGCAACAAACTAACTAGTTTTATACTTTAATTAAAATGTCTAAATTTACCACTTGTACACTTTAATGAATAATGCAACAAATTAACTACTTGAATATAACGCCATTAATGGATAAAAGAAGAGAAGAGTACCTTGGTGGATTGGCCGATTGGTTGATGATGAATAAATATTAACTAAGTAGACAATAAATATATATTAACTATTAAGTAGATAATAAATGTATAAGTAGATATAATAAATTAATAATAAGTAGAGATTAAGTAGATAAGGAATATAAGTTATATAATATATAATATATATATATATATATGTAAAGTAGCTAATTATAAGATAATAAATATATAAGTAGATATAATAATATTTATATAAATAATATATATGTAGAGATAAATTGGAGAAGAATAGAAGATGAAGATGGAGATGAATGAAGATTTTAGAGATTGAGAGAATAGAGAATTAGAGAGTAGAGAAGGTGTAAAAAATGTATAGAAAATAGGAGTATAAATAGGTTTTTTTTTCTCCCCCCACCCCCAACCCCCCCCCCACCCCCCCACCCCCCACCCCCCCCACCCCTCTCCAACGGCTATAGAGCCGTTTGGAGCCTCTCAAACAGCCCCAACGGCTACAAAGGCCAAAAAAAATTGAAAAAGATTTTTTTTTAAAAAAAAAAATTAGCCGTTAGGCCCGGACCGGGCCCGGCCCGGCCGGGCCGGTTCAAGAAATTAGAGGCCCGAGCCCGGACCGCCCTGCACCCGGGTCGGGTAGGCCCGAACCGCCTAGGGCCCGGTTGACCGGGTCGGGCCGGTTAGAACAGTGAGCGGGCCGGGTCGGGCCCGGTTCGGTCCGCCCGGCCCGAGTCCAGGCCTAATTATCATCCTCATCATCATCATTGGGGGAAATTAAAAGTGTCAAATAGATCCTCCTATTATGTATAGAAAGTCAGTTAAATCATCGTGCTTTAATGGTCACCAATTAAGTCCTTGAAGTACGCAAATTTGGTCAAATCCTATTTTTAACATGTAACTCACCGGTTAGCAGGTCTTGATGCGACCCACATGTGGCCTGACGTGTCGCACATGTGATGATCCATGTCACATTACTTTTTTTCTTTTTCCTTTTCTTTTCTTTTTCTGTTTCCTTTCCCTTTTTTCTTTCTCGGTCTCTTTCCCTGTTATTCTATTATTTTGCGCAAACCGTTGTCTACTCCCCGGATTCACCCTCGACATCACCTCCTGAATACTACCTGGATTCACCTGAGTTCGTATATCATACAGTCGGATGTACGACATACACCGCACAACCGATGGTATTGTGATAATTTAGGTGAAAACGCGGCTTCTATTAAACGAGCATTAATGCACTTTTAGTGAGTATCTGGCCTACTCTATTTAGTATTAGCAGTCTAATATTAAACATTGTGATCTCTGCTTCATATCTTCTAATTCACTTTTTTTCTTATTTTTTCTTTTATAAAAATTTCTTAAATTATATCAATAATCAACTCATATGATTCCAATATGTGAATCTAATATAATATTACACATTTGAAATATATATTGATATGAAAATCGATAATTCTGCTAGTTGAGCATCAATACATTTTCGTTGACCATTAAGCTTCCTCCATTAAGTATTAGAACCATGCAATTTAGTATCGTGATCTATGCGCAGTTATCTTCAAGAATTCATTTGAATGCCTTCCCGATTGAATTGTTATCTGAAATTTGGTATGAGTAAACTAGACATAATGAATAAGATGCTCAAAAAAATGGATCTGGAGCCTCTGCCTTGCTTTAAAGCAAGGCAGGGTGCCTGGCTCTTCGAGACCATTCGATCGAGAATTGGACAGCCAAAGATCTTGGGCTCCACCCCTTCACTGATCCCGATGTCCTCTTTGTCGCTTCCCCGCCGTCGGATGCCGCAAGGCACTCTGCCTTATGGCAGAGGATCCTGATCCCAAAAAAATCATCAAAAAATTTCACCGGGAACTTCTCCAAATGGCGACGGCCGGACAGAGCATCCTATATAAGAGCTTATTTGACCTTTTTTGTTAGTACGTGGACTTATTTGCCCATTTTCCCTTCTAACAAATACATTATTCCATTCATAGAAACTGTTTTGATGAATATATATGTGACTACTAATACATACGTAGTATTTATAGACTACTAGTAAACAATTTCAATGACGTCTTGGTAGATCAATCATCATATTCACTTTGATAAGCTTTGAGTCTAAGATGGGTTCTATATTCTTAATTAAGATCATATTTTCTTAATATTCATTTCTGAAAAGTGAATTATAACTTTCAAATTGTTCGTTGCTAAAAAGTGCACGTTGCAGACAAACATTAGCCTTTCACAATGGTAAGGGGTGTTTGGAACTGATTCTGCTTCTGCTTCTTTTTTTAAAAGCATAAGCAGAATCAGTTTTTAGAAGCTGATACCCCCAGCTTCTAAAAAACTGATTTTGGGAGTAAATTAGAGCACCAGAAGTGCTTCTGGAATTTCACCCACACACTACAGCTTCTACTTCTGCTCCCTGAAGGAGCAGAATCAGTTTTGAGAATCAGATCCAAACACCCCTAAATTGTGAATTGTCAACACTCATTTTCAATGGGGTTAGCGTATTATTGCGTAGAACTTTTCCAACTATCCTTTTCTAGAGGTGTTCCAATTTTCTCTTTTGCTTTCAAAAATGTTAAATGACATTAAAACTAAAAATGGCATTTATTCACTTGGCATGTTAAATGACATATATACCGTATATAATTACCACAATTATATAATTACCACAAAGTAAAAATAAAAATGGCATTATTGCTATAATATTACCATAGCATTAATATTTTGCATTTGAGCTATTTCAGAAAATATAAAACAACTTTGTAATACAAATATTCTCTAAAAAGATGTCGTAAAAAGCAGCTTGATAAATTCATCCATTGCTCAAAGAATGTTTTGCTCCTTTTATGTAAGGCTCCAAGCCATAATTAGAAAGGATTTAGGTACAATACACAGAAATAGTAGATACTTATTTAAACATTTCATTTTGCAAGTCCAGAAAAATGAATAACCTAGCAATGAAAATTAAAGTTACCAACTTGGAATGATTATCATGAATCAGATAGCTCGATGATGAGATTAACATAATTTATTTACTTAGGGAGTAGCCTTTTTTGGGACTAAGGCTTGGATGTTGTGAGGAGTAGCCTTTTTTGTAAAGCAGCACCTCTCATAACTACCGAGTGAGCAGGAGCTCTCTAGCACAAACTGGGTCCCAACTATAGACCTCTATGGCTCTATCGTTTTTGCTCATTCCATGTTTTCCCTTCAAACAGCTCAGACAGCATCCTCTCAAGGTCCTCGGGGGTGAACCGTATGTACTTCTGGGGATTCTTCCCGTTCTGAATCATAGGCCTGGGAGGGAATATATTTTTGTTAAAAATATATACTTCGTATAAGATTCTCATTTTTCATGATTTTCTTTGAACAAATCTTGGATAGAGCTAGATTTGTTGGAATGTAGAAGTGTGATAACTTAGAGTGCGTTGGCTTATTTTCGAAGAGTAAAAGTTCTTCTGAGAAAGAAAATTGTTTTAACAGTTATAGACCTTTTTAAATAAGTACTGTACTAGTTTAATTTTGCGGCATATTGGTGTATTTTAGAAGCACTCAAGTGCTTATATGTAAAAGCGCTCTATCACAAGTTGTCATAGAGAGATAACTATTGGCTTACCCAAAACGTTTATTGAAAGATCTATAAGCTGTCAAGAGAACTTCAGCGACTGAGAGCCTCAAAGACTCACGCAACTCGCTATCCGGAACCGTCCATTGTGATTGCCTTTGATGAAGTTCTTCAAACAGTATGTTGAAAGTCTTGTACCTGTCCTTCACCGTTGCTCTCGAAACATTGCTGGAGGTGGAACTCGGAGGAGCATCACCTGTAAATGAATTGCTGCCTCCTGTTGAAACTCCCTGAATTGATAGACACTGAAGAATCTACAACAAAACAAACTCATGATCAAGGAGGTTGTAAGTATCTTGCATCGGGAATCTACCCAGACATAATGAAAGGAGCCAGTTATAAAGTTGCGACTGCTATTCCAGCTCTTATATGTTCTTAGGCATACATGAATTTAAACTTAAAAAATAGTGTCCAAAAAATGGCCTCAAGAGAAAACCTTAGACCAAGAGAGTCTCTTATACTGGTTAGCATGCTGTTGTACTATCCTTCTGTGTATCTGCACCCAATCATCACCTAACATATCTTTAGCTTCCGACCTAAACAATCCAATAAATAAATCTGAGTGTAATATAATCCCTGTGAATTATTGATATACTATCATTTATATGTTAAAAAAAGGCATAAGCAAAACTAACCTGCGAACAGATCTAACAATGTAGTGTATATTGTTCATCATAAACAATTGAGTCAATGCAGGGTCTTTGTATTGTTTAGATTTCCCATCAAGATTATTCATCAGAGCTTGAATGATTCGTGTTGTTATAGCTCCCATTTGGGCATCCGCATCAGTGTCATCAAACTCCCCAAAAAGCAGTTTCAAAGTTGATTGGTAGCTATTCATATATTTTAATTTTAAGACATCGATTTTATCAGATGTCATTTTTTCAAATAAATAAAAAACTTGAATTAAGTCAAATACTTACTCGTACAGGAACTTCACGTAGTTGATCACATAGCTGGTTAAAGGATGGACAGTCCCATCTTGAACAGCAGTTTTCGTTGCATCTTTCTCTACTGCTTCTTCGAAGTCAACAAAGGTCTCTTGAGCTGTCTCAGCCAAACGCTTTGTCAAAATTATAGCAGCTTCTCGCACCTCACCACAATATTTATTTCCAAAAAGTATATCCATCTGTCATGTGTCAACAGTAAATAAAGAATAATAAGATATAGTTCAGGTACTGAGCATTCAACAATTATTTCTAGCCTCAAAACGAATACTAAGTTCAACATTCATCACCACAAATACCATAGGAGAGGAAAATGTGTACAAATTAGCAAAAAGCACAAGTGTCTTTTTGGTAAAGGATTATTGAATTTATTGTATCACTATTTTCCTTCAAATTACAGATAACTAAATATAGAAAAAATGGACTAAGTGGTATTAAGACTTCAGAATCCATTCTAAACAAAATTAAGCTCATTGAGTGTTTTTTTATATATCTGTTTGCTGGGGATAGTTGAAGCAAAAAGATTTTCAAATTTAGGTGCTTAATTTTTCAGGCATACAAGTGGAACACATGCAGAGGAAAAACTCAAGATATCAACCTCTGGTTGAACTTCTCTCATGATTTCATACATGTCAAGAAGGACAAATAGCTTTTCAGGTGATCTTTTGCTCTTAGAGATAGCCTCACCAAAACTGAAGAGGACAGACACACTATTTGTTGTAACCTCTGCAAAACATTGATCCCCTAGAGTATCATGACCTTCAAAAATTTGATCCGACACTTTTTTTTCTGCAGCAAACAGAAGCTTGACCTATCTCAACAAAAAAGAGAAAATAAAATACAGCAGTAAATACAAATGACATGTAAAACGAAAAAAGAAAGCAGATATGTGTTGGAGATGATTATCACCGCAATTCTTATGTAATGAATCCAACTTTGAATTTTCGCTTCTAAGACTTCCCATTGCATCTTTTGCACGTCCTCTTTAGTGACTCGTTCCACTCCTAGTTTTCTAAGACTCAGTTCCACAACCGAAGATCGGACTTCTCTGCATGATTAGGGCTATGTGTAAATAGTTCTTAGTAAAGTTAAGGGGACTATAATAATATAAGAGAGTGCTCTAAATTATTAGAAGTTCAGCATTAAAGCTTAGCTTCCCCATTAGATTGCTCCCACGTATCAGGTCTCCAGTCTCTACTCCTAAAATTACAGATTTCATTCTATACATAAAAAAAATCACTGAATACAATTGAAAATGAGGGAAAGGCAGAACGATATTTAGAAACCATGCTCCCTCCATCCCACAAACCGTCCTCCTTTCCTTTTTCTGTCACCCCAGAATAATGTTCCCCTTTCCTTTGAAGGAAAGCATTATTAGATTCATATTATTTCTCTCAGCATATGAACACCAATGTTCAGAGGTGTGAGCTGTGAGCACTATACATTAACTTCTTCCACCATAGTCCTCTGTAGTCTGTAACATATTAATATAGGGAACAACCAACTTTACATGATATCCAGAAACAATAGACATTACATGCATTTCAAGTTCGTAAAGTATTCACATAGACAATTAGTGTGCAAGATTTTATGTTTGTAATCCTACTTTGAAAAGAAAATTGGAAATTTAATATCAATTTGAGTTATCACATCACTGTCTAAAATTATCACTTACCTGTAAATGTTGAATACTTCTGGCTGGTGGCCAGCTTGAATGAGCTGGTGGACCAATGCATGTAGAAGTGGAAGAATTCTTGGTGGAATAAGAGCTGGAGGGTGGTAAATAGCAGTTTCTAAACTTCTAGTCTGGTGCTGTTTCATGCCACTAGTTTCATTGTGACCAGGCGATGGCCGCAAAGATTGTGGCAAACAGTCAAAAAGGCGATCTGGTTCCACCGGTTTGCTGCAAACAGTCCAAATTAAGTATGAGCTCACTATATGGAATAACTTCGCATACTAAGATGAAAGAAAGCAAACCTGTATGTTGTAAGAAGCTGACGAAATTCCTCGTCTAGCTTAATAATTGACTTTGTAATTAAAGTAGTAGCATGCGTAATTACTGATACACCACCCTTGAAATTTTTGTTACCACTAAAAAATTTAACAACACTCCTCAGCTGATCACACGCCTCGAGATAACTTTCTAAATCCTCATGTGGTCCCTTCAGTATTTTTGCCTCTGCCTGCAAATTTTGAAGCCACTTCTCATGCAAGTGTATGATGAGAACCCAGCCCATTTAGATATTAATAATGAAAGGGATTTTTCCAGAGTTTATAGTAGGAGAAATAAAAGGGCAAAGGAGTAAAAGCATAATTAATGGGGGGAGATGGGTCGGCAGATTGGGGAATAAAACGGGAAACCGAGGGAGGAGAATAGGCATCGGGAAATTTGGATAGACTGGTTTTGGAGAGAGGGGCCCTCTCGAAAGGCTTCCAACTTGTTTTTCTCTTTCAACAAATAATCTTCCTGATCATTGTGTTCCAGGATTCAGTAATTTTCTTCAATAAAACTTTCAGAGTATTTCAGTTCTTATCATTTGGTACCAAGACTGTCTCAAGCTGAAATACAAGATAGATCTAGAAGAGGACTATGTTTTAAATGTGGGGACAAATGGAGTAAAGAACACATGTGCAAAATGAAAAACTACCAGTTAATGTGGGTAGAATCAGTAGAAGAAAACGAGGAAGGTGAACCGCAGGTGTTGGAAACAGGGGAGATTGAGGCTGACACAGGAGGAGAACACAACGATATGCAACTATCGATTTTAAGTAAGGAAGGAATCAATACTTATAAAACTTTTACAGTCAGGGGACAAATAAGGAATACGAGCAAACGCAAATCAATCGTAATCCTCATTGATTCAGGTGCTACCCACAACTTCATTTCTCAGAGATTGGTTGATGAGATGGGGCTGAATTACAATGTCAACACTGGGTTCAAGGTCGAATTGGGAAATGGAGATCATGTGGTTAATACAGGAAAATGTGAACAGCTCCAAATTTGGGTGCAAGGGGAGTGTATTACTCAAGATTTCTATCTCTTGGAACTAGGAGGTACTGATTTGGTGTTGGGAATTGCATGGTTAGCAAGTCTGGGTGAGGTACAGATAAATTTCAGTGATTTATCCATCAAATGGAAGGAGAAAGGGGAAGATAAGATGCTCAAGGGAGGTTTTGAGTTAAACAGAACAAAGGCATCATGGAAATCTGTCCTACAGACTTTGCAACAAGAAGGAGAAGGGTATGCCATTCATTATGAGGTAGCTGATTCCAGCAAGCCAGATCCAGAAACGGAGAAGGATTGGGAGGAGCTAATAAGAGAATTCCCAAAAGTTTTTCAGAAGCAGGCAGGTTTACCACCTAAAAGAGCATGTGACCATGCCATAAACATCAAAGAAGGAGCATTGATTCCAAATTCCCGGCCATATCGATATCCTCATTATCAAAAAGATGAGATAGAAAAATTGGTGCAGGAAATGTTGAACAGTGGAGTTCTCAGACCTAGTACGAGCCCATACAGCAGTCCAGTCATTATGGTTAAGAAGAAGGAAGGAGGTTGGAGAATTTGTGGAGATTACAGGGCCCTTAACAAAATTACAATTCCTGACAAGTTTCCTATTCCTATCATTGAAGAACTGTTAGATGAATTGGGGGAGGCTCAGGTATTTTCCAAGTTGGATCTGAAATCCGGGTACCATCAAATTCGGATGAAGGAAAGTGACATCCCTAAAACTGCCATTCGAACCCATGAAGGACATTATGAGTATGTCGTCATGCCGTTTGGGTTAACCAACGCTCCCTCTACTTTCCAGGCTCTGATGAACCACATTTTGAAGCCGTATTTGAGGAAATTTGTCCTTGTTTTCTTTGACGATATACTGGTGTATAGCAGAAACGTGGAAGAACACCGGGAACATTTAGGGAAGGTGCTGAAAGTGCTTCAAGAGAACCAGTTGGTGGTTAACAAAAAAAAATGCTACTTTGGGCAAAAAGAGCTTGCTTACTTGGGACATATCATATCAGGTATTGGGGTCTCTGCTGATCCCAGTAAGATCCAAGACATGCTCAACTGGAAAAGGCCTCAAGATGTGAAAGGACTCCGGGGATTTCTGGGGCTAACAGGCTATTACAGAAGGTTCGTAAAAGGATATAGTAGAATAGCAAAGCCTCTCACCGATTTGTTGAAAAAGGATGGCTTTAAATGGACACGTGAGGCCACCAGCGCATTCGACGAATTGAAGGTAGCCATGACTACGGTACCTGTGTTAGCTAATCCCGACTTCAACAAAATGTTCATAATCGAGACTGATGCTTCTGGGCAGGGGATAGGGGCTGTTTTGATGCAGGAAGGCAGACCTATTGCTTATATGAGTAGAGTACTATCCAATAGAAACCAAAATAAGTCAGTATATGAACGGGAGCTGCTAGCAATCGTGATGGCAGTGCAAAAATGGAGACCATACCTAATGGGCCGGAGTTTTGAAGTCCACACAGACCAGAAAAGTTTGAAATTTCTAATGGAGCAACGGTTAATGGGTGAGGAGCAACAAAAGTGGATCACAAAGCTGTTGGGATACAATTTCAGCATTAAATATAAACCGGGTTTGGAGAATAGAGCCGCGGATGCACTGTCTAGGAAGGCTAGCTATCAGGCTCTTTCAGTGGTGAGTTTCCAGGAATGGCAGGGATTAGAGGAGGAATTGTTGCAGGATACCAGGTGCAATCAATTAATTCAGAACCTGGTGTCACAACCAGAATCTCAACCAGGTTTTAAATTGAGAAAAGGGTTAATCTACTACAAAGATAGACTCATGTTGCCCAAGAAATCTGCGAGAATCAATCAAGTGCTGAAAGAATTCCATGACTCAGCTTGTGGGGGTCATGCAGGGTACCTCAGAACATTGAAAAGAATATCTAGTGTGCTGTACTGGGAGGGAATGAGGCAAGATATCCAAGATTATGTGAAGAGTTGTGAGGTATGCCAAAGGAACAAGTACCAGGCTCTAAGTCCTGCTGGGTTACTGCAACCTTTGCCGATTCCAGATCATATTTGGACTGATATTAGCCTTGATTTCATTGGAGGATTACCTAGAACGATGGGTAAGGACACCATACTAGTGGTGGTTGACAGGCTAACCAAATATGCCCATTTTTTGGCATTGGGCCATCCTTATACGGCTAAGAGTGTGGCTGAGTTGTTTATTCAGGAGGTGGTGAAGCTGCATGGGTTTCCCAGGACCATCGTATCAGATCGTGATAGTCTATTTTTGAGTTCATTTTGGGCTGAACTTTTTAAACTTGCAGGTACCAAACTAAAATACAGTACCGCCTATCACCCTCAAACGGATGGGCAGACTGAAGTGGTTAATCGTTGTCTGGAAACGTATCTGAGGTGTATCACTGGTAACAGACCTAAGAAATGGCCCCAATGGTTACCTTGGGCTGAGTTTTGGTATAATACCAATTATCACGCCTCACTGCAGACTTCTCCTTTCAAAGCCTTATATGGCCATGAGCCTCCAACTTTAATCTTGGGAGATGCTACAAGGACAGCAGTTGAAGAAGTAACCAAACTCACAGCAGAAAGAAATGAAATGATCAAGGAGTTGAAGCAAAATCTAGCCATGGCTCAAAATAGAATGAAGCAACAGGCGGATAAAAACAGAAGGGATGTTCAGTTGGAAGTTGGAGATAGGGTGTTTCTCAAAATACAACCATACAAAATGAAAAGTCTGGCAAAAAGGCTGAACCAGAAGCTAAGCCCAAGATTTTATGGCCCTTTTGAAGTCATTGAAAAAATAAATCCAGTGGCTTACAAGTTAAAACTGCCAGATGATTGTAAGGTGCACCCGGTGTTTCATGTTTCTTTGTTGAAGAAAACTGTGGTTCCTAACATTCATACTCAACCTCTACCTGGATGCTTAACGGAGGAGTGGGAACTTCAAACAGAACCTGAAGAAGTGTTGGCTGCTAGAGAGTCTATCAATGGGAGTAAGGAGATATTAGTTCACTGGAAGGATTTGCCTAGTTTTGAAGATTCCTGGGAAGAGTTGTCTGAGTTTCAATCATTGTTTCCCAATTTTCACCTTGGGGACAAGGTGAATTTTGAAGGGAGGGGTAGTGATGAGAACCCAGCCCATTTAGATATTAATAATGAAAGGGATTTTTCCAGAGTTTATAGTAGGAGAAATAAAAGGGCAAAGGAGTAAAAGCATAATTAATGGGGGGAGATGGGTCGGCAGATTGGGGAATAAAACGGGAAACCGAGGGAGGAGAATAGGCATCGGGAAATTTGGATAGACTGGTTTTGGAGAGAGGGGCCCTCTCGAAAGGCTTCCAACTTGTTTTTCTCTTTCAACAAATAATCTTCCTGATCATTGTGTTCCAGGATTCAGTAATTTTCTTCAATAAAACTTTCAGAGTATTTCAGTTCTTATCAGTGTATTACAAATTAAAATCATATGTGCTCCTAACTTTCATTAAAGGTTACAAATACTTTGACAGGGACATGAATATTCATCAATAACTCAACAGGTTTCCTCGTCACCCAAAAAACTCCCCTACCACATCCATGACATGATGGTTTAAAATTGCGGCTGTTGGCATTGCTATTGAGATCATGTTGGGCACTATGATCCTTGAACCATGATGCGTCTGATGCATCATGAAATAATTTTATGGTTGCACACAAAAATATACTCCGTATTAATTTAGTGTTGGTCTCCATTCCGGGCTGGTGCACTATGATACAGTCATAGGATCGTAGCGCAAAGCTGATACTAGGCTGATGTGGTATCAGTATTAACCGCAACTGCAAAGTTGCAGCCCAACGGGTATTGGACACCGCAATTTAAAACCCCGCATGATGTACATCAAACATCAAGGTAGCTAAAGAGGGATGAGGACCCTGTAGTCTCCTATTACATACCTGCCGTGCAAGATCAAATTGACCTAAAATGAGCTCAGTAAGCTTGCGTGTTTTGTCAATGTTCTCATGAGCCCTTCTGATTGAATGTGTTCGTATCTAGGTGATCCAAGCTTAAACAACTTCAGTAAATCAGTGATACGTGTGGGGAGCAAATACATTTCATAAGCAATTGCATGGCTTCTTAGGAAATCGTGTAAAATTTGTAGGCGTCTTAATACGTACTAGATTGACGCCTAAATTTAAAGCTGCAAAAATATGCGTTTATCTATAAAAATGTAGCCATAATCATAATGCTTTGAGCAGAGAATGTAATTTTGAAAAAATGTGATACATAAAGGTAAGGATGGCTGGAAGAAGACACCTGAGTGGGGCGCATAGCCGTTTCAAGGGCGGAGAGGCGGTGGTCGAATGATCCGAGAATTGCGACCATGTTATCAGTGATGGTTTGGCTCTTCTGTAGCGATTCCCTCATGAACGACGCTCTATCCTTTAGGATTTCCATAGCTACCTCCGGACAGACCGCCATTTCTGGCTCGCTCTCGTAATCTTCTTCTTCAGAAAATGAAGAAGAGCATGAACGCCGATGGTTTAGACTTTAGACGTAGTCGTTTTCATCCCTTCAACTCAACGCCTTTTTCGTAATTATACACCACGCTGAAAACAGCGGTGATCATCTGCTTTTAGATCACAACAACGAGGAGGTATTTTACACGGGCGGGGACATTCATTTTTGGTTCGGTTTTTATCCATTTCAGTTAGTTAAATTCACTTTGTAATGGATTGAGAGAATTAGAACTAAACAAAAATTATACGGAGTACTATTTTTCGGTTTAGTTTGGTTCAATTTAGTTCGGTTTGGTTCGGTTTGGATTTTTTATTTTTTTAATAATATAGGAAGGTTTTAATGAATTTCTTTAGTTCGGTGCGGTTTTGTTTAGTTTTTATCAGTTTCAGTTCGGCTTAATACGGTTTGAAAGAAAAAATACTACTAAACTCAAACCAAATTGTATATGATTCGATTAGGTATGGTTGGATTTTGTTGTAGACAGTTTTAGTCAAGTTGTATGTATAAGCTTCTTTTTTGTCTATCATAGACAACGTGTTTTATTTATGTAGACAAAACACATTTGTACAGACAAAAAAAAGCCTTCACAAACAGTGTGTACAACTGTATAAACAAATAGTAAATTATGTCCAACAAGAATTGTTGTTACTATATGTGCACCCCTTTTCAAATTGCACACCTCTTTTTGTTTAATAAAATGCAGTTGTATTCATAGAATTATACTAATAATCTTTCTTTAAATAACTATGTTTAGAAATCAAATATTAGTATATTACCTCCCTCCCAAATAGCTTTCCAAAGTTAAATCACCCTATTAACAATTAATTCATTTTTAATATTTAAAATTTACATATTTAGAAGATACATTAAAATCTCTATGAAATTGTAAAATCTAAATTAAATTTTTATTAAGAATTGATATTCTGATTAGGTGAATAAAATGAATCTACTTGTCCTAAAAATTCACTTTGAGACGGAGGGAATACACTATTTTCCTTTCCACAAAATGTTACTCAGTAAATTTTTTATCACAAAAAGCGGTTGAAATATTAAAATGGGAAAATGGGAAAATAAGCTCTCAAAGTAACCAAAAAAATGCAAATCACCTCATATAGCTCTTATATACTGAGTAACACATAGAAGATAACCTCCAGACAGAATTTACAGATCCAATCATGAACCCTCGTGAACCCTAGGAGTAGACTTGGAGTCATCCACCTCAAACAAAATAACATGACTCGTTGAACCTGAAACGGGCAAATTTAGGCCTAAAACGACCGGAACTGAAACTCTGCATATCAAAAGAACTCCAAAAATCCAAACATTCAAACCAAATATACTCGGACTAAAACTGAAACAATTGCTACTAAAGAGAAAAATATACTAAAATAAAATCTTTCCACAAAGCTCTTCCCGGTATGGAGGTGGCTCCGGAGGAGGACGGGCTCTTACAATATGGGTGAACACCAACTCCACCACCGTCGAAATGGTCGACCAAGGCTTCACGATCCAGCCTCGATACAACCTCACAGACACATCTCATTCATCCGTCAACGATATCTCCTCCGACGTAGTTGCAATCGCAATCGTTAAAACACTAACAATCAATATAATTTGCCGCTCCAACCCCATATTGATAGGGTCGAGGGAAAATCTCAACCCCTACAAAGAGGGAAGACGGTTGTTAGGGTTCCTCTCTAAACTAATTAGTTTTTGATAATATGTTACTCAGTAATTAGAACATAGTAAAAGCGAGTTTTAGGTACAGGAAAATAATATGATTACTACGGAGTATTTTCTTACAAGAATAATTAATTTTTTATATGAAATACGTAAAGTGATTCATTATTTAAGTAATAGTTATTCATTGTTTAAGCAATAGTTATTCATAATTTGATTTTTTTTTACATTTCATTTTTGAATTGTGAAATTCAAATGTAGTTCAAATCAATATGTAAGTTAAACTTCTTACAAGTTTTAATAAATCCTCAAAAATCAAATTCAAAAATGAAAAAAGAAAAAGTATTACATATAACTCAAAAATTATATACTAGGTATGCGTTAAGGTGTTGTAAAAATGTAGTGTAACGTATTAATGATACTTTTGATCTTTTTGTATACAATAAGGATGTTTACATTTATATACCTACAACTCATCAATCAATTTCATATAAATTGAACAAATTGAATGAAGTGATAAATGATTAGAAACTACACCTCTGTTAAGTAATTAAATAATAATATTATAAACATGTTTACTTTTATTAGTTTAATCATAAATTTATACACAATAACTTGAAAATATGTACTCTTCATGGTCATATGAATAAATAAACATAAACATCATTTCTACCATTAAATTCATAGTAATATTAATCTAAAAATTTATAAAATTCAATAAATTAATGACAAAATGTTAGAAACCAAACCTCTATTAAACAAATATGGCAGAGTGTTAAAACATTTGTCCCACACCGGAAAGTTATAAATCAATTAAACACTATATAAGAATTTGGGCTAATCCTCAGCTCCTATCAGAACCAGGTTCTGATTGTGGTTTGACGGCTTGTTTAGCCCTTATGATTAAGGGTAGCTTGTTAAGGGTGTGTTTCCCTGTTTATACACCCCGATACTGTCCAGCCCGGTTCCGGCTGAGGGGGCATGTTAAAGCATTTGTCCCACACCGGAAAGCTACAAATCAATTAAACACTATATAAGACTTTGGACTAATCCTCCTATCAATTTGACATTTTAGGATGGAACCCCAAATCTTAATAAGGAGGAAGCTATTACAGCGGCTGGACTGGGGGGGAGGCGTGCGATGGAGTGTGACGTGCGGCATTGGCAGTCCATGCGCTGCTGAGAGAGGTGGAGGAGGCGGCTAGCAGCTGGATGATGCAGCAACATGTTGGAAGAGGCGGAGGCTGCTGATGGACGGAGACGACGGCGATGGATTTCGGTTGGAACTATGTACCTGATGGAGGAGGCCGACGGATCAGCTGCGCAAGGGATCGGATTTCGACTGGAGTCATCTGTGCCCCTGAGTAGCGTATGTTATCTTTAATTTTAGTAGTTATTGTTGTGGTTGCTCTGAGCCCGCAACAAATGTGTATAAAGTCAACTTTTTAAAAGCAATTAATGTGATTCTGCCACGGCCACAACAAATAAGTTAAAATTTATGCTCCAAATGTTGTGGGTCCTCTATGACCGCAGCAAATTCTGATATATTTTCAAGCTAATTGTTGCAAATCATAAATAACCGCAAAAAATAGGGTGCAACAAATGACAAAAATTCTAGTAGTGGAGATAGTTTGTGAGCTAGGCATTCGGAAGAAAGTATTCAATCTACCCTTGGCCCAGGCGTAGACTGTGAGTTTTTTCACAAGGAATTTGAATACCATTCCAAGTTACTCAGTCCTCCAAGAATTTTCACTAATGGCATTGACTTGCCAAAAGCTACTCATGTTCTTGCTCTTTCTCACCTTCTGGATTTGAACACAAAGCTCTCCAGAATGTCTAACACTAATCTAGTTTACATGGGTGAAAATTAAACTACCGACTAATTTAAGCTCTATAGGCTTGTATGAATTATACTACCTCCGTCCCCCTAAGTTTGGGACAAGAGAAGGTGGCACGGTTATTAATAAAAGTGGGTTTATGTGGTTGATATTGAATTGATAAAGTAAGAATAAAGTAGGATTGATTTAGAACCACACAAACTTTACCAAATAAGGTATGAGACAATCTTAGTGGGACGAACCGAAATGGTAAAATGGGAGGGACAATCATAGCGGGACGGAGGGAGTAGCTATTCTAAGAGCATTAGATGAGTGGGGTGGTAGCCGAAGTGGTGAAGGGGAATCAGCTAGCTGGATGTGTGCTTGTAAAACTTGATTCCCTTCTATTCCACATGGCTTCTCTCGGTTTGCCACACTTGGTCTTCCCACACTCCTTCTGTATTTATAGACTGGTTGTTGAATCTCCATCGTTGGCTGAGGCGCTCAATCTTGACCGTTGTTTGATCTACTTGCATTGTTCCACTTGACTGAGAAGAGCATGATTGGTCTTTGTCTTCTTGTGACACGGATCAATATCTTCACTTTTTTTTTCAATCCACCAAATGCCATGATTTGAAATCCAAATATTCAAAAAACAAAAAAACCAACAAAATGTCTTGGTAAAGTTCAACAAAACCGGTAAAACACAAGGTGAAAATGAGACATTGATTAATGAAATCAACGCAACCGCCTTGCTTCCCGCTCAGACTCTAGCAGAGTAAGTACGTTGATATGCACTAATTAGTAGTGCATAAATGTATCTTTTTATGTTTGATTTGTGTGGATTGTTTACCATTTTATTTAGTTTGTAAACATTTGTGTGATTTTAGTTGTAATTGTATTTTAGTTCTCATTTGTAAGTTGTAAAGTAGAGTTAGGATTTATGGTGTTGGAAAGGAAGACTTTGAAGTGAAGATTATTGGCTGCACCAGGACAGTCACCCGGTCGGGTGAGGTATTGCACCCGGTCGGGTGAGACTTGAAATACGAAACTGCTCAGGAAATTACATCACCCGGTCGGGTGAGGTATTTCACCCGGTCGGGTCAGATTTGACCCGGGACAAAACGACGTGCTGAAACACAAGAACGTGGAAGATTATTTGATTTTGACATGCACCCGGTCGGGTGGGCACTTTACCTGGTCGGGTACCCGGCCCAAGGTGTTGAAAAACACCTATAAATAGCACACTTTTCCTTCACAAATAACCATCCCTTCTTCCATACTCTTAAGCTCAGTTTAGAATAGTATTTCTTTTATATTTTTATAGTATGTTTAGTCTCCAAATGAGGAGCTAAACTTCCATTTCTTGGTGTTGCTCTTGAAGCTTGTTGATTATTAAAGTTGTGAGTTATTTTCTTAACTTCTTCCCTTGAATATTAATTATTTTCTTAATCTATCTATATATTAATGTTGGGGAGTGTTGCTAAGTTGACAATTAGTTAACATCTCGACATTAGTTATAGTAGTATTTATTTTCTTCCTCTATATATTAATGTTGGGGAGTGTTACTAAGATGACAATTAGATAACATCTTGACATTAGTTATAGTAGGATTATTCATATTTAATC